CCTTCCCAATTTTGAACCATGCAGCGTTCCCTTGCTCTGTTCTGACGACTGCCTCTTGGTCCAAGTATAGGTTTCTCATTAGCACGATCAAGTGTTCTGGGATTCCCATTCTTCTCAGAGTCAGCCACATTTTGTTATGATCCACACAGTCAAATGAAGACTAAGGCGCGTCTGATACAGGCCATGGTCTTTGCTATCACTTGGACAATGACTAAGGAGGACAGAACGAGAATTGATGCCTTTGAGCTTTGGTGTTGGAGAAGAGTATTGAGGGTACCACGGACTGCTAGGAAAACAAACAGATTCATCCTGGAAAGGGTCAAACCAGCTGCTCCTTGGAGGCAAGGATTCTGAGGCTCCATCTAACATACTTTGGACATGTTGTAAGGAGGGACAGGTCCTTGGAGAAGGACATCATGCTAGGGAGGGTGGAGGGACAGCGTAGAAGGGGAAGGCCCCCTATGAGGTGGATTGATTCAGTGATTGGGGTAATCGGGATGGGTGCATCAGAGACAGTGCAATTGGCACAGGACAGAGCAGATTTTAGGGATGTTGTACATACGGTCGCTATGAGTCGCAAGCGACTCGGCAGCACATAACAACAACAACAACAACTTGTGTACTTACCTTTTCTACCTCTAAGATTTCTTAAGCACTTATGTCAAGTGTATGTATTAGTCATTTTACCTGCGTTATCTAATTCAATCCTCTCAGTCACCCTCTGTGCTGGATAGTAGAATGCCAGTAAAAAATAGGAAGACCATCAACAAGATGGCTTGACACAAAAAGTTCAAGTTCAGCAATGCATATGAGGATGGCGAGGGATTGGACAGTATTTAGTTCTCTTGTATGTGGAGTTGTTATGATTCAGCACTGACTAGACAGAACTCAACAACAATCCCCATTTTACAGATGAGCAATTTGAGGCTGTCAGAGGTTAATTATCTTCCTTGAAGCAGCATGCTTATTAAGGGGAAGAGTCATCATTCATTCAACAAATTTTATTCTATTCCATGTCTGTCAGATTAAAATGCCCAGAGGGGTTTTTAATACAGACTGAAAGTTCTCTTTGGAGGCAATTAGCACAGGAGCAAAGAAGGGGGCAAGTTGTGTTAAAAGCAGTTTTCTGTTCCTCTCTCACCCGATTCTGATTTACTGAGCTATGGCAAAGACTCCTTTGGCCTCAGCAGGCACTTAACCTGAACTAACACAGGGCTAAAGAAATGATTCATGAAGACAAACACCATACAGGATGTATAGCTCTGGGGGCAGCAGTATGAATTATTCTAAGACTGCGAACAGAATGCCGAGCCCAGCACAGAGCCAGTTATCTAGCACTCCAAGGTCTCTGTCCTTTCATTTTAAGCTTCAGACTAAATTGCTGTGTTTGATCATTAAAAGGGAGGCCCCAGTCCTCAGAGACAAGGTACAGCCTATGTGTAATCACCACAATCCGCCTAGTCCGGATATGTCTGCCATCAAAACCCAGCATGATAAGGAACTCATCCGAAGATTAACAGAAAAGGACTCGTCACCCCTGAATGGGTTTTTGGCATTGAAAATAAGAGATGGAAGCCCCTAGACTTGCCAGATCAGGTCAGAATGACAACTAATTAATATTATAGTTATGAGTTTGTTCTCTTCCTTATTGTTTTAACATGCAAGGGTGGCCACTGTTTGCTCAAGGAAAGTGTAAATAGGATTTGCTGACACCTGTGGCCAATGATCTTGCCTCTCAAGGAATTTTGAGGCTGGTCTGGAGTATGGATCTAATGGTAAAGAAGTTGTACAAGAAATGAGGGTTGAGTAAATCTATTTTATATTTTCTCAATTCTCAAAGCAATCCTTTTGGAGAAAGTATTACTATCACATGCTTTTGAGTTAAGGGTTCATCTACTAACTCTGCTTGAGAAAGGCCTGAGGGTCTGTTCCTTGAAAGACCACAGTCTAGAAAACCTACAGGCAATTCTACTTTGCCACATGGTTGTTATGATTAGGAAGTGACTTGACAGTACCCAACAGCAATAACATTATTGTGATACTCATTCTCTAGTTCCCAAGCCTGCCAGATGCACATCTGCTAAGTAGCAGGCAAGGCTCAGAACCCTTGGATATTGGATGCAACAGCTTTCCACTGCTCTTGGCTCACACTTCCTCGCAAGACCTTTTGCTTAGGAAAATATTGGTCCTTTAAAAAGGTCCAATGCAGTATTTGTTAGAGTTCTTAAATATCAATAGCCCTTCCTCTCTCCAAACCAAGATGACAGTATTTGCTTTCTTAAATGTCTCACATTTTCCCATTGCTGACAAAGTTTCTTAACAAAAATTAGTGGTTGAGCCGTGATATCCTTACCTTCCACACAGGAGACGCTCACATTTGGTTCTTAGGCAGTAGACTTGCTTGGACTGGTTATCTCAGCTGGCCACATCACAGACCTGAGTTTTGGCCATTGACAAAACCACCCTGTTCTCTAGTCATCTTTAGGCAAGTCATAAAGTGCCTGGATGGAATTGTGGATGATCCAGGATGGATCATCGTTAGAACTAATAAAGGCTATCAAGTGATCTGTGACTAGGATCCACTGTGCCATAGTCATAAATGAAGTAAAAAATTCACTTATTTAAAATTTCTCTGTCCTTCCATATGATCTTTCATGATAGTCTAATAGACAGAAAAACCTTCAAAGTAATATATCTCCATATGGATAGAGTTGTTGCTGCTAACCATTTAATACTGACAACCTAATAAAACTGTTTCAACCTCTAAAAACCATATGTCAAGTTTGACATTTGGGATTATAGTCACAGTTCCAGGCTCTTAACAAGTCTTTTATGTCTCATGGAGGTAAGAAAACAACTTTTATTTGGCTTTCCTCAACGTAGTTCTTATCAATATTTTAGTGCCGCCTGTGCCATATGGTTAAAAGGAAGTTACTCAAAACACAATCTAAAAGAATAATTGTTATCTCAATAATAGAGAAACCACTAAGATTTGTTACGCATACTTTTTGTGTGCCCCAAAGCAATTTTCAAAAGTCGTTTTTGTTTGTAAGCTACTCTCTTCCTAGTGTTTGAATCATGTTTTAGAAAAATTTTGTAAAAGCCTTACAGTATACACCAGCTACAAGTCCAGAGAAAGAGAGTGAAGTCTGGCAGACATGAGATAGTAAAGAAAAGTCTAGACAAAGGTGGAGCACGAGCCATGAGGTACACTAACCAAGTTCAGAAAAAGAGTGGAGATCAAAAAGAAGAAATTAAGAAAAGTGTGGACAAAAGATGGGTCAGGTGCATCAGGTACACTAAGCAAACTGCACTCGAGAAAGGCTAAGCTATAGACGATCCTAAAGAAGCTCTACATCAAGCAACATGAGGGTAACTGAATATTTAACACAGAGGAGAAAAAGCTGTAGGGCTCTTACAGTCCCTTTCGGCCTCTCCTATGCTGACACCCCTCTCTCTGACGCTATGCTAAAACCACTTTCCCACCATTACTTTTCTTGATCTTCCCAACTTCTTTCTTACACCATCTCTCTCCTCTCTCACTTTCAATATGGACTTTCTGAACCTAATCTTTTGTTTCAACCACTTTTAAGAACACTTCACACCAGCTGGAAAACAGCCCATGTTTTCTTCCTCTTTCATTCCACTCTCTGGAGTGGACCTATTACCCTAAGTTCAGCAGCCCAAGCCTGGAGGATGATCTATTTCCCAGTCCTCCAGTGGGCTGGTCTCTCCATGACGCCAGCCTGCTCCTTTGCCCTCCCCCACTCGTCACCCCCAAAGAAACCCAAACTCTCTGGCCTCTGACACTGACTATGCCTGGGTCCCCAAGGTCTCCGCCTGGATTCATTATTTTTCTGATTTCCCTGGCGTAGGCGGGTCGTTGGGACATACCTCTTTGCAGGCGTGAAGCTGCTGTCCCGTTCCCTGGATCACCTGGAAGGCGGTCCCAGCCCAGAGCAGCAGCCGCAGAAGCCGAGGTGCGCGCCGTTCAGTGCTCCCCTTGCCTCTGGCAGAGGGATGGAGGCTGCGCCCGGACTCCACCATAGCGTTGTCCTGAGCGAGCGAGCGGCAGCAGCGGCTCAGGTGCTGCGGCTGCCACTGCTGCTGGCAGAAGGCGGAAAAAAGGGGGAGGGAGGTACACAGGAGGGAGGATGCAAGGGGCTGGGCTCGCTCCAGTCACCTCCCTGCGGCTACGCCAAGGCCGCCCATCCTTCCTCCTTCTTCTCCTCCTATTTCCTACCCGCGTCGTCTTGGCAACCGCCTCCTCTTTCTGTCGGCGCGGGTGGGGCAGGGACCACGCACGCCTCTGCCGCTCACCTGCCGGTCGCCATGGCAGCCGCCGCCGCTGGCGCGCGCGGGTGAGAGTGCGCGCGCACGCGGGGCTGCAGTGGACCCAGCGGCGGGCGCGCGGGCCTCGCGTGCACAGCGCGCGAGGAACGTCCTCCGAATCATCACCAAATCTGTGTGTGCTTTTCACTGCCCTTTTGGATCGTGGGCTATTCAACAGTATCTCCAATTTTGCGAAAGGAACCATAGTGATCCAAAGGTTAAGCGCTAACCGGAAGATCAGCGGCTGGGACACAAGAGTCAGCTTGGCAGGAGAAAGTTCTGGTGGTCGGCTTCCCTACCGGGCAGTTGTACTCTGTCACATGTGGCCTCTGAGATTTGGAAATCGACTAGATGACACCTAACACCACAAATTGGCAAACGTGGCATTGCGCAAAGAATATTTTATTAAACAGAGTGGCCCCTGTAGGCGCTCTATCTATAGCAGTTTCCTGAGATTTGACTTGTATTCGGCCAACTCCGTGTTTTTACAAAGTACAGCCGACTGTTTGCGCGACCCTGAAACTCGTGTCGATAAACTGAGTACTAGTAAGGAGAGTTTGCTTCAGCTGCTGATTTTATAAGCACATACATACAGGCTTTTCTATCTCTTGGCATGTCTCTCATTGCATTGAACATCGTAATTTGCTAGGTGCGAGATAGACAAAATTAAAATATCATCTTTTTAGGTCTTCAAAAATATAAGTCCTCAAGTGAACCCCTTTGTAGAAATCTTGTACGATGGGATATCGGTGTTTTTCAACTGAAGCTGTAGAGTGCAAACTCAGGGTTTCCCGCCGCGCTCTGCGCTCTGCCCTCTGCGGTTCTACGTTCATGCAAACTTCATCTCCAGGGCCTCCCTCAGTGAACCCCTAGATGGCGCCCTTCTCGATGGGCATTCATCTCAGTCATAATTGGGCCAGCAATTGCCTGGCAACCGAACCTGGACGGTCCAAACAATTGGGGTCTGGGCTCCTCTGCCAGCCAAAGCTGTGATGTGGCTGTGCGGTCCTCCCCTCTTAAGAACGCCTGGCTCAGCATTTAACTAACCTCCCATCCGGGACTCCTTTCAGCTGGCTAAGAATAACTTTTTGGGGAAAATGCCGGCTTCTTCGAAGGTATTGACTGCGGGGTCTTCCTGTAGGTGTGACAGACTTAAAAGGCTGTAATGAGAATACTCGAGCTGCATTCAGGTCCGCTGACGTTTCAGAGGGACACAGAACTCTAGTGTAGAGTAGAGATTCTCACAGCTAATATCTACCTTCACATCGTCTGTTTTGTGCTTAAAACGTGTGTGTGTGTGTGTGTGTGTGTGTGTGTGTGTGTGTGTGTGTGGTGTGTGATTGCTTTGAGAATTTAGAAACAATTCTTTTCTAGTACAAGCGTTTGGATGTTTGAAGTGGTGCAAGTTGATCAGGTGGTCCTCATAACTTTACAAAAGCTTTCTTTTGTGTCTTCAACATTTATTATTTTCCATTTGACAGGCAAGGAGTGGCAAAGGAAGTTAACGTTGGGCAGCTAACTGAAAGACTATTAGGATTTACAGCCTTAGAAACCTGATAGAGTTGCAATCTATTAAGCAGTGGATTTCTATTCTGTTGGGAGTTTTGGTGTGCCACTCTCCCCATTTTAAAAAAAAATTCTTGTTTGTTCATTCATGCACACTTTCCTCTCTCCCCCAATTCCCCTTGAAAGGCTGTTAATTTTCATATGCATGGCTTCTAATCATCATTCCTTTCAGAACGTCCTTCCTTTCACCCATTCCAGTGTAGTGTTTATTAGCTATCCATTCTTTTCCCACTCTTCTCCACTTCTTCCCTTCCGTTCCACCCTCCCCCCCCCAACTGGACCCTATTATTACAATAATAAGCTTATGCAGTATCTGTCCCTTTGTGACTGAGTTATTTGCCTCTGCATATTGCCTTCCAGACTCTATGTTGTGTAGTGTTTTATGAGTTTATTATTTTGGTTTTGTTTTTAAATCCCAGGCACCCCTGATAAGCACTGAGGAAAAACAGATAAAGTAGATCTAGTTCTGCTCCCCAGGAACTCTAGTAGGAAAGATGGACAAGCAGGAACACCAAGAACAATAGCTCACGTGTGGTGGCAGTTCTGTGAGGACGCGATGAAAACTAGCAGCTTACAGGATGGTTTCTTTTCCCAGAGCAGGTGGTTGGATTTTTCTAATTTCATGTTCTTAATGGTTTACATACAGTCCTTCATATAGTGTTTCATTTGTATAAATTGTCTTACTCAACCTTTCTTTTATATTGTGTTTTGTTCAAATATTATACATTGTATTTTGTACATTCATATATTATTTTCTCTATAATTACTGTTGATCTGTGCCTATAATCAGCCTGTCTTTTTAAGTTTCCATTGAATCTTTTTTATTCCTTCACCCCCATCCACCCACTAACCTCTGCCATCCCAGTAATTTCCCTCCTTCCCCTTTTCCCCCTTGAATACATCTTGATCAGTTATCCTTTTGTTTTTTACAACAATGGTATTATGCAGTATTTGTCCTTATGAGATTGAGTTCTTCACTCAGCGTAATGCCCTATAGACTCTCTCATGTTATAAAGCAATTTACAAAATAATTGTTCCTTGTTGTGTCATTCTGTGCCTCTGAGTTGGAACGGACCCATAGCTGATCCTTAGGTTTTTGATGAGTTAGCTGGACCAGGTGAGGAAATGGTTGCAGGGTAAGTTAGAAGGTAGGACACAGGAACCCCACATACCAGGCAGAGCAAACAGATGCACACACATGGAGAGGAGAGAGGGAAGGAGGGTGGCCTGTCAGAGGAATTGTGAAGTCAGAAAGGCCAAAGTGCAGACATGAAACAAAGCTGGAGAATTGAGCTTGGGATCTCGGAGGGCTGTGTTCTCTATATGCCAGGCTAGGGAGCTAGGACTTCATCCTAACGGTTCTAGAGAATCATGGCAGAATTATGAATACTAACACAGGCTTTAGAAATTACAGTTGGCAGTGGAGAGGAGAGGAAAGGAGAGGAGAGAAGAGGAGAGGAGACGAGAGGAGAAGATAGGTGTAAAGTGCAAAAGATCAGCAGAGGCATGTGTAGCAATAAATATCCAGGGGGGTGAATGGTAAATCTAAAGCAGTGACAGGGGAGCAATCATCAATAAAAAGCCAATGAGAGAGAGCTAGTAATGGTAGGTCTTGGTGACTGGTTGGATGTGGGTCTGAGAGAGGGACCAAGTCCAGGGCACTGCCTGGTTTCTGAAAGTTTGATTGGTAATAATCCCTGAAATGGAGCATTCAGGCAAAGCAAGCAAGTTTAAGGGTAAAGATTTTGCTTGGTGGTGCCCATGGGGAAATTAAGTGGAGATGAATCATGGGCAGTAGGTCAAGAACTGTGGTTTGAAAGTGTATATCCAGAAGCCTCAGCATCCTTGTGAAAATTGAAACTATGGGACAGAATGAACTCATCCAGATGATATGAGAATAAGAAAGGCAGAAACCAGAGCCATGGAGAATATCTCTGTCTGTCTCACACAAAGGCAGAGAAAGGAAGCAGAACTAAAGCAGCTGACAAGTAACAACTCAAGGCAGGAGGAAAACTAAAAGGGCCTGTGGGAGGGCATTCAAGGGAGCTGGTATTGTGACGCCGGTAACTGCAAAGGTCAAATAAAGTCAGGCTGGAAAGCCACAGAGTATAGCTCACCAGCAGGAGTAGTTTCTTTGGGTCCCTGAGACAGTGGCCTGGCTGCAGTGTGCAGAAGAGGGGTTGGGGAGAAGAGAGAGATAGTCAATGTTCATTCATGAAAAAGTCTGACTTTTAGGCAAGGTAGTAGAGTGTGTAGTCAGGTTGTTGTTGTTATGTGCCATCAAGTCGTGTGTGACTCATAGCGACCCTATGTACAAGAGCCCTAAATGCCATTCTATCCTGTGCCAAACTCACTGTCTCAAACACATTCATTCCCACCACTCCACTCACAGAATCGATCCATCTCATCAAGGGTTTCCTCTCCTGCGCCATCCCTCCACTCTCCCAAACATGATATCCCTCTCCAAGGACCAGTGCCTCCTTTCAACATGCCCAAAGTATGTCAGACGAAGCTTCAGAATCCTTGACTCCAGGGAACATTCTGGCTTCACCCTCTCCAGGACAAACTTGCTTGTTCTCCTAGCAGTCCATAGTATATTCAACACTCTTCTCCAACACCACAGCTCAAAGGCATCAATTCTCTTTCTATCATCCCTATCCACTGTCCAACTCTCCGATGCAAAGCACGTAACTGCAAAAACTATAGCCTGGATCGGGCGCACCTTAGTCTCCAGCCTGAAGTCGTTGCACTTCAGTACTCTTGAGAGGTCCCTCACAGCTGACTTTCCCAATGCAATTCGTCTCCTGATTTCCTGGCTGCAGTTACCAAGAGTGTTGACTGTGGAGCCAAGTAAACGAAAACTGTTAACTATCTCAATCTCTTCACCATCCATACTGATGCTGCCACTTGGCCCAGTGGTGAGAATCTTTGTTTTCTTGATATTGAGCTTCAATCCATATTGAAGACTGCAGTCCTTGACCTTCTGCAGCAAGCGCTTCAGGTCCTCCTCAGTTTCAGCAAGCACGGTTGTGTCATCTGCATGACGCAGGTTGTTGACGATTCTTCCACCAATCCTGATGCCACATTCCTCCTCGTACAACCCAGCATCTCAGATGATCTGTTCTGCATACAGATTGAAAAGATATAGAGACAAAATACATGCCTGACGGACCCCTTTCTTGATTTTGAACCATCCAGTGTCTACCTGCTCTGTTCTGACGACTGCCTCCTGATCCAAGTATAGGTTTTGCATTAGCACAATCAAATGTTCTGGGATTCCCATTCTTCTCAGAGTCAGCCATAGCTTGTTGTGATCCACATTGTCAAAAGCCTTTGCATAGTCAATGAAGCACAGATAGACATTCTTCTGGTATTCTTTGCTTTCTGCCAAGATCCATCTTACATTAGCTATAATATACCTAGTACCATGACCTCTTCTAAATCCAGCCTGCACATCTGGCAGTTCTCTGTTGACATATTGTTCCAAACGTTTTTGGATAATTTTCAGCAGAATCTTGCTTGCATATGATATCAATGATATTGTTCAATAATTTCCACACTCTGTTGGGTCACCTTTCTTTGGAAAGGGAACAAATATCGATCTCTTCCAGTCAGTTGGCCAGCTGGCTGTCCTCCAGATTTCCTGGCACAACTTAGTGAGCACATCCAAGGCAGCGTCTGTTTGTTGAAATAAATCAATTGGTATGCTGTCAACTCCTGGAACCTTGTTTTTTGCCAGTTTTTTCATAGCAACTTGAACTTCCTCCTTCATCACCATAGGTTCTTGCTCATATGTTATTTCATGAAATTCCTCTGTGTCAGCCAATTCCTTCTGACACAGTGACTCTGTACTCCTTCCATCTTCTTTTCATACATCCTGGATCATTCAACATTCTACACAAACTATCTTTAAGTGTAGTCAGGTTATGATAAAAAATGAAGCTGGGGTCAGAGGAGTGGGAGACTGGAGTGGTTTGGTCTACAACGCACAGGTCAGGACTGTGTGCAAGAGGGAAAAATGCTTCTTGAGTAAAAGTAACTTCCCATTCTCAGAGTCTGAAGGAGACGTTGACATTTGCATCTGCTTGAGGAAGACTCAGGACGAGGAGGATTGACCTGATACCTGGGGCAACAGCGGGATTAGGTATGTCAGAGTCAGTGAGACTGAGGGCCAGGTTGAGAGCAGTTGTACTTAGGGTCACGATGGCTCGCTATGAGTCACAGATGACTTGATGGCACATAACAATAACAACATTATGATTTTGAGTAAAAATTTACAGAGCAAACAGGTTTTTCATTCAAGTTTTTGACACTGATTAGAAACCCTAAAATGTGACATCACTTTGTCTCCCATTTCCAATCCCTCTTCTTTCCTCTGAGAAAGCTGCCTCTGAGCTTTCCCTCCCCAACAAGTGTTGCTATCTCTTTGATCTCCTGTGGCTGTTCTAATTGTTCTAAGGAGTGTGTACTTCACTGGTGTTATTGTTCACCTTGCTGGCCTACTTATTGTTTGCTAAAAGTCATGCATGGAGGTGAGCTCAGTTCCAGCTTTCCGGTAGAAGGGCCCCAGTCTCAAGATGGCCAGCAGTCTCCACCAGAACAGAAAGCCTAGCCTGTATTTTGTCCCACAATTTTCTCTCATTTTATCCAAGACCTTCTCATGTGATCTTTTTCAGAGCAGCTTCCTTGGCAGTCTTAACTTTATCAGTGGAAGGCAGCCTGAGTCATCTGTTAATACAGATGGCAAAGCCGTGAGGAAAACTGCCAGGTCCAAATGCATCAAAACATAGCAGAGAAAAAAAAACAACAACCTAGCAGAGCAAGTAATAAATGTTGGAGAGGATGTGGAGAGATAGGAACTCTTATACACTCATGGTAGGATTGTAAAATGGTACAACCATTCTGGAAGGCAATTTGGTGTTTCCTCAAAAAGCTGAACATACACAATGGAATACTACGCTGCATTGAAAAACAAGGAACTCATGAAATAGTATTCAAAATGGATGACGCTGGAGGACATGATGCTGAGTGAAATATCTCAGTCACAAAAGGACAAATACTGCATAGTTCCACTGTTGTAAAACGGGACTGACATAGGGGTTGGGGGGAGACTGAGAAAGACGGGATAAATTATACTGCATTGAAACAGATGAGAGAGAAAACTGTTTAAAAGGTATATATGATTAAGTATTATTGTCATGACATGAGTCCAGAAGGAAGACTGCATAGTGGAATGGACTTGGGGGTAGGGATTGTGAAAGAATTTCACAATGAAAGAATTTTTCTTTTACTTTTCAAAGAATGAATTGGAGGGGAGAGATGGGCAGGGAGAAAAATGCAACAATGAATGAATGGAAATCCAAAATCTCTGTAAATTTTCATTAAAATTAATAATAAAACTTATTTAAAAAGCTGAACATAGAAATTCCATATGACCCAGTTATTCTCAGAATATACCCCAAGAAAATAAGAACTGAGGCAAAAACAGAGACTTGTACACCAATGTTCAAAGCAGCATTATTCATCATCAGAAGAACATGGAAATAGTCCAAATGACTAACCACAAGTGAATGGATTAAAAAATTATAGTATAGTCACATGATGGAGTACTATGCAATTTACAGAAGCCATGATTTTCAAAATCACTACCTAACTTGGGAGGGACTGAAGAACATTATGCTAAGTGAACTAACTCAGTCCCATCAGGACAAATACTGTATAAGATTATTGTAGAAATAAAAAGTAACTATTAAAATGTGCGTGAGGATCCAAGGTGGGGAAGGGTAGGAGCAGAGGGGTGAGTATGGGCAGGGGGTAAATCATAGGGTCTCACAATTTGATGGGTAGAGAGAGGAGTGAGTAAAGGAAATGGGAGAGATCTAGTGTGAAAAGCAATGTATATGAATTTTTTAAGTAAATCAGTACAAAATAAAAATTTTATAAAATAAAATTTAAAGTTAAAAAAAAACCCACAACTGTAGCTGAGCCTACATTGAAAACATATTTGTAGTTTGGTTTATTTTTCATCTCCTTTGGTGTTAACACAGTGTCTGACACAAACAGTTCAGTTAAAGTTTAACAAAGTTGAAGCACAGAACCGTGCCATATTGGGGAGGGGAGGGGAGGGGATTCTAATGTCAGAGAGGTTGAATGAGATTTCTGTTTTACTATTTTATCTTATAATTTTACTTATTTTCATCTTTAATCCCTTCCACGTGTTAGCCCATTGTCTGTCTAGGTACTGGGGATACCGTGATGAACAACATGGCACTTAAATCAGCCGTGCACTTTCTGCATTCTTGCTTTAGAGGACTTTTGAGCTCTGTGGGCTTTTTCTTTGACTTTCCTGCAGTCGTCAATGACTTCTTTCTTCCCTCTTGAGTGGAAGGCTTTGTTCCACCACTGGACATTGCACTCTGCTAATCCTCCTGTCTCTGACTGTCCCTCTGTGGCTCCTCTCCCTGCCACTCCTACCCCCCAAGTATAATATTGTACAATCCCTATAAACCTGCCTTTTCCCGTCTAGAAAAACTCCCCTTTTCAGACTCACTCCTACTTCGTGTGGACGTGCTGTTTGTTCTAGCTCTCACCTTTCCACCAGCTCATTGTATCAGATGATACCCATCTTTTCTTTAAATTCACCGTCTCTACTTGAGCTCACCATCTCTCCCACCTGCTCTCTCTCCTCACACCCTAGTCCTGTTCTACCCCTTTCCCTGTATCCTCGACTGTTGGCTGGTTTAAGATGGAAAATAGGAGAATAAGAGGGCTGAGGCATCTTGTCCCATACTGTACTTCTCTCTGCAGAACTGATTGCTGTTTTTGTTGTTAAGTGCTGTTGAGTCGCAGGTGACTCATAGCGACCCTATGAAGGAGAGTCCTCGATGCTTGGGTGCCTTTCATCCTCCCTCCAGGTTCATAAGGTTTCCGGAGGCAAGCTTTATGGAAGTGGATGCCACTCCTCCTTCCAAGCTTGTTTTGCGGATTGGGAGCTTCACCCCACTCTCTGTCCGCATTGGGTAGCCAACCATTAATGCATTTCACACATCAGTGTCACAGTGGCAGAACTGATAGTCAAATAAAATAGGATGGAATATGGGATGGATTCCACTCAAGTTACCCAGGCCTCCTGTAACCAGGTCTTGGATGTGGTTTCTCTTACAGAAATCTCAAAATAAGAACCCAGCTCACCTCTCTCAGCAACAGGAACCCTGGAGTCGGCTCAGTGCAGCTCACACAATCACCTCCATAATGCGGGATGCAGATTTTTTTGATCCCAAGGTACCTAGCATGGATATCCTATTCATCTTTACATACATGTTATTGTTAGCTACCATCAAGTTACCCTCCACTCATAGTGACCCTGAAGAACATCAGATCTGAACCTTGTCCTGGCCACACAGGGCTCACTAACATCCTTTTTAAAAAGTAGTCTGTCTCTTCCTACTGCCAAAGGGGCCCTTTAGAGTAGTGAGAGAAGATCTTCACCCTGAAACCTACAGTGTCCCTTTTCAGCAGGAAGTAGCTAAGAGAATACGCCGTCCCCTTTTCTTATGAATCAGGGTGAAATCTTTCAGGGAGGAGTGATAGGGAATGGCAAAGGACACACTGACAAAGGAGATTAATCAGAACTGGTTTTGACAAGCACTGTGGCAATGGGACAATTAAAACAGAGTTTCAAGGGAAAAAAAAGAGGAACCAACTGGGGGGGTGGTAGAGAAAATAGTGCAACAATGAATGAATGGAAATCCAAAATCTCTGTAAATGTTCATTAAAATTAATAAAATAAAAAGTAGTCTCTCTCTGACTACTGTTGTCTCCAATCAAGATCCTACCAAATACAAAACCAAATGGTCTTGCTTCTGAGAAATCAGAAGGCTTGTTTTGCTAGGTGCCATTATCTGGAGCAAATGAAGTCCTTACCAGATTTCTTTTGACCAAACAAGGACTGCATGCAACCATAAATGAAAAAAGGTCCGTTAAGCCCAAGTCAGGGCCAGTTTTATTCCCATGTCCCCAGTGAGAGCCAACTACTCCTAAGACCAAGAAAGGGACAAGTCTATGCTCCTTAAACCACAAGTGTTGACACTGAGAACAACAACTGGGTGTGCAAGGAGTTAGATGATTGATTTCTGACAAGCAGGAGCTTTTGAGGAAAGGGTAGGATCCAACAGAAAGTGATCAGATAGTGTGGGCAGAGGGGCTTGCTTAGCCCCAGAGCAAGGGCTTCCTTTGTAGATGTGTTTAGCTGCTAACTGAAAAGTTAGATTTGCGTCCTACCACAGTTGCCATGTAAGCTTAGCTATCTACTTCTGAAAAATCAGCTGCTATAGTCTAGTGATAAGAAGCTGAACTGTACACCCGAAGGCATGCAGTTCAAATCCACTAGCTAAAGAGAGCTCTGGTGACCTAGTGGCAAGAAGTTGCACTGCAATCCCAGGGGTATGCGGTTCGAGTCCACCAGATGCTCTGCTGGAGAAGGTGGGGCAAATCTCCTCCAGTACCAGTCAGGTCTGATCTGATGGTACACAAACCAAAATAGAAAAAATCCACTAGCTACTCTGCGGGAGAAGGATGAGTAATTTCCTCTTGTTTGATTAACTGCCTCTGAAAACCCACCCAGAGGGTCAGCTATAGGTCGGTTCAGACTTGAAGGTACACAAAAACAACAACAACCACGAGGAGCGCAGCTCTACTCAACACACGAGTTGGACACATCAATTGGAGCTGATTCCATGGCAACTGGTTTGGCTTTGGGTTTGGTAGGCACCGCTGGATGACCTGGATTTCCGCTTAACAGCCCTGTATAACCACCACACTGAGACATTCAAGGACAAATGTGAGATTCTGGTACACCAGAAGACCATTGAGGATGCCCATGGGTAAGTGTGGGAGGCAAGGCCTTTCTACTCTCAGTTTGAGGATGCTGTCATCCAGACTCTATAAGGTATATTTCCTGGGAAATAACAAATAAAGTGTTCTTTGGTATACAGATTCTCTTTTTAAAATACATGTATATGTGACACACATTTTTATATTTTTACTGTCTACAATAAACAGAAATTCTTCACACTCATGCTTACTATACAAAGAAAACCGTCAGTTAACTTCCACTAAGTTAAAAAAGGGCCCGTTGAGTGCTTTATCTCTCAAGTTGTATGCTTCCCTGTGCCTTCTCATCTTCTGGATTTTCTTCTCCACTATTCTTCCCTAACCTTCTTCTAGAATGAAGCTCCCAAAACTTTCACCTTCTTCCCCACTACCTCCCATCACATCCTTGGGTAACATCAGATACTGGACCAGCCCTAAGAAGGAGTCCATCTACAGCGTCCAGGGTGCCATAGGTAAGCATCAGAAGTCTGGGTGGGCAGATGGTGGTGTAAGAATCCTACATGGACCCAGGAATCAAGAAGTTGTGGTGACTTGCTGGTAGGAAACATCAGGACCACTGATAATCTTTTAATAATGATGATCAAGTTGGAACATCTCAGACAAATACCATGATACAGGCTGAGTATGGGACTGTTGTTGTCAAGTGCCGTTGTGTCGTAGGCGACTCATAGCGACCCTATAAACGAAAGACCTGAACACTTGTGTAACTTTTATTTCTCCAAGTTCATAGAGTTTCTGGAAGCAAGCTATTTTGGAAGTGGATGCCACTATTGCTTCCAAGCTTGTTTTAGTCGGGGAGCTCCACCAAACACTGTCCACCATGGGTGACCATTGTCACATTTGACACATCAATGTCACAGTGTTTAGCATCACAGCAACCACGAGTTACCTCTGTAAAACAATGCACAGACCAGTGCTATGCCACTTAGAACAATGTCTAACCAAAAACAATTAAAACCAGGCCTGAGGGCCACAGACTAAAATCACCCAGCTTGGTAGCATAACTTTCTATCCACTAGGCCAAGAGAGCTCTAAGAAAATGCCATAGGGTAGTTTTACTCTCTTCTGTAGGGTTGTTATGAGTTGGAATTGACTGAATGGCACACATACAAAACAACTGTATGTACCTGTCATCATTACCACAATATAAATTCTATACCCCTATACAATTTCCTTCCAAATATTCCATATAAACAATTATATGAAAGTGCTAATAAGAAAATGCTGGAGAGGATGTAAAGACACTGGAACTCTCATACATTGGTGGTGGTATCATAAAGTAATGCAACCACTGTGGAATACGGTTAAAGATTGTATGGGAAATAAAATTTAGTTTTTCAGATCCTTTTAGCTTAGCTTTAAATCAAGTGAGTGGGGTATACTTTCAACAAGGGCAAAATTCTTTGATTAGAGGGCCTGTAGCTACCTTTCTCAGTCCTATTTATACCAGTTTTGCCAGGTGTTGAGAGCCCCAAATGCACAGAAATGTATAGGTGACTAAAAATTCCTGGAAAAGTCTAAAGATCTCGAATTCACAACTCTCTCAATGCTTTCTCTTCTCTACAGTGTCCCCTCACACTGCGGCCACCAATGGAGGCTACTCCCGAAAGAAAGATGGGGGCTTCTTCTCCACCTAGTGTTGACAGGCTTCTGGATTAGGTATCATGGAACATCTTGCTGCCTACTCCCATTAAATAGATTTGTGAAAGATGAAGCCTGATGGGTCTGTTATCTGTGGATTTTGCTGCCACCTGGTACCCTTAAACTATAGATGGGAAATGTTTCAATCTCTGTAATCTAGTCATGTTAGGCCTACTTGCACCTTGGAATGTTGTTATGTGGAGAATAGTATTATCTTTAGTAGTCATTTCAACCACATAAATCCATTCATTTCATATTTATTTTGCAAACTTAAACATGTCAGAGTTAAATGTTGGGGAAATAAGAATGAGTACATCTCTTCAGCTTATACCATTTTGGTAGCTATAGCCTAAAAGGTAGTATTTAGGCTAATGCCATGCTGAAGATTTCAGACTTCCTGGGTGCCATCCTCTGTTGGGCACTACTGTCCCCCCAGGGATCTGTCTTCCTAGTCATGGTCTGGCTTCATTCTCCTCACTCTGCTGCCTCTTGCCTGGGAGCCAAATTTGTGTTGATTCATATTATAAATACGGTCCGACAATCTGGTACATTCATTTCAAAATATCTAAAAATTGGCCTATTTATTTAGTGTCTAAAATTACAAGTCACTCAGGCATCGGCTGTGCCATTAAAAATATTAAAAGAAAGAAAATAACTTTTAGAATATTGTATAACACCCATTTCTAAGGTAAGTTTGAACAGCTTTTGTATTGTTATTCTTCCTAGTACTCAGGTTGTTGTTATGTGCCATCAAGTCAGAACCGACCCAGAGCTGACCTTCCAAAAGGATTTCAGAGGCAACAATCACATGGAAGATTGCCCATCCTTCTCTCAGAGCAGCTGGTGGATTCAAACTCCATGCCTTCAGGATTGCAGCATAGATTTTTACTATTTGGCCACCGCAGGTCCTTAAAACACTACAAAACTGTCAGAGACCCTCTCTTACTGGGTCCCAAAGCATTAAAATAGTATCTGCTTCTAAGTGACAATATGACATTTCAGTTTTTACTATCTGTAAAAGAGGAATGTGGCTCTGAATAATAACCACATGTAGATCACTTTTTAAATTAGCATTAGCACTGCAATTCATGCTCATGGCTTTATATACATTAATAAATCTGGAAACAAGTTCCTGGGATCTCAACTCTCTTAAGCTCTGTCAAATTCTTCAAGGCATACACATATTTTAAAACACAAGAATCCCTCCCACCAGATCCACTGCCCCTGAGTTGATTCCAAGTCAGCAACCCTACTGGATAGAGAACTACCTCACTAGATTTCCAAGTCAGTAAATCCTTATTGGAAGCTGTTGTTGGCTGCCATTGACTACAGCTCATACAATCCATAATAAACAGATCTGAACCTTTCCTACTCTATCCTGTGCCATCATCTAATATGTTCAACTCTACTGTTACACTGTGTCAATCCATCTTGTTGAGTATCTTCTTCTCTTTCAATGATCCTCCACTTTTCCAAGCACAATAGCTTTTATCCAGGGTCAGGGACCAGCCCCTCCTAACATGACCAAAGTATGAGAAGTTTCACTATCCTTCCCTCTAAGGATCACCTGGTTGCACTTTCTCCAAGAGGTATTTCTCTGTTCTTTTGGCAATCCATGAGCCATTCAACAATCTGGAAGTACTTGTGGAAGCAGATTCCACATTTCTCTCCTGCAGGGTTCTGTTTTGTTTAGAAACAGCCAGGAAATTAAAAGGCATTTCTATTTGAATTGGGACAATTTGCTGTCAAGGACCTCTAAAGAGTACCAAGGAGCTTTGAACAAAGCCAGTCGAGAGACTAAAGTGCACCAAATCCAAGCCATCACTTGCTATGTTCATCAGAGAGCTTGACAATGACTAAGTAGATGATAAAAAGAAGAATCAATGCCTTTTGAGTTGTGGTGCTGGAAAATATTAAACATACCATGGACTGCTAAGAGAACGAACTAGTCAGTCATGGAGAGGGTGAGACCAGGCTGCTCCTTGGAGGCAAGGATTCTGAAGCTCTGCCTCAAACTTTGGGCATGTTGACGGGTGAGACCAGTTCTTGTATAAGGACATCATGCTTGGAAGGGTGAAGGGACAGCACAAGAGAGGAAGACTTTGTATACTTATATATATGCTGAGTTGGCAGAAGCTTCCATTGTTATGAGTCAAGATTAGTCAAGCCTGAAGACAAAACAAGGAAAGATAAGAAAAAAACCATTTTGTTGGGGAACAGCACGTGGGCACCTTCAACCTCTGCCTTCCCTAAGAACACTCGATACCAAAGCCAACCCTAAGCCTGCCCCCCCTCTCCACAGTCACAGGTAGCCAGAATGTCAGCCAGGCATCATGTCCTGGGGCTGGCCTCAGATCAGAATCGCCTCGATAATCAGCAGCCGGAGACGAGCCCCAGCCTCGTCTATCTGATCAATTCATCATTTCTGAGCGCCAAGCCCCATCGGACCAGCTCTGGGACCTTTGGGACCACAGCGTTACCACCGCCAAACGGGCCTCGCTGCACAGCGCCCCAGGGGGCTTCGCAGGAGGAGATCATTTCATTTCGGGTAGGCCTGGCGGGGCTGAGGTCGCGACCCGATCAAATAAGATCAAGGTGTAGGCGGGGAGAGTGGCGTAGGGATGGGCGCACACACTCGTCTATTACACTCTTCTGCGCACCGCTGGAGCATACACTCGCACATACACTCACACTCGACCCACACGTCTTCCATGTGACACAAGTACCACACACACAAAAACATCATACACACGCCGATCCCAGGACACTCTCCCGTCCTGGAGCGGAACTCCGATTCTGCTTTTAAACCCTTTGCCCCGCCCCGCCGCGGAGGATTCTGGGAATAACCATTGAGTACCGGAAGAGCAACTTCTGCATCTTGCCTGGAGTTACTTCGTTGTTGCCCCCTCATGGAGCGGAGGGGGATATAAACTCTAGAGAAGATAATAATAAATTCCCACACTGATCAATCATCCTGATTGAATTCATCTGTACAGCTAAATATTTACGCCTATCTGTATACTTTTTATTTGACCTTTAATTTGTCTTAAATTTAAGAGGATCTAAATTCTAGCATAATAACGTTAACTATCAGAGACATCTTTGAAGACCATAAACGTAGCTATTATCATATGGGCAATCACCTCCCTTGGGAGTTTCTGCTCCTAAAAGAGAAGAGAAATACTATTTTACCATGAAGAAAGATGTGAAAGAGATTATTCAAAGTCAAGGTCTAGATGATCAGGATATCTATGATACAGGTTGTTATTTATGTCCAGTCAAGTGGGACCCAACGTAGCTGACTCTCCAGCAGGCTTTCAGGGGCTGGTAGCAATCCCAAAAGCCACATGGTTCAAATTAATCAGCTTTTCCGTGGGCAAAGGATGGACAATCTCCAGTGCGGTTTACTGACTCTGGAGGGTCAACTACGGGTCGTTTCCAACTCCACGGTACACAACAACAGATTGCACTGGAGGAGATGCAGAGCCAACTGGTGGATTCGAAAGGCACACGTAACTTCGGGTTGACAACGCAGCTCCTTACCACTAGGCCACCAGAACTCCCTGTCACAAAGGTAAAGGTAGGCAAGCATATCCTGTCCTTATAGAAACCTCCAGCTGCCCAGCCCTTGACAAATTGGTCCTCAAATTGGATTGCCAAGACATATCTTATTTTCATACCCATTATAACATATCTTACCCAAACTTTAACATTAGTATCGAGTATGTAGCTCACATATCTCTCAGCCAGCGCATTAATATGTCAGTTCCTTCTTGCCTTTTTTTCAGTGAAATGTTGTTAGGTGCTGTCGACTACAATTCCTAGCGACACTATAATGAACAGACCTTGACCCTGTTCTATCCTGCACCAGCCTCACCTTCCCTGATAGACTCAAGCCACTGTTTCAACTTCTCTCATTGAGGGTCTTTCTCTCTTTTGCTGACCCTCTACCCTACCAAGGACGTTGTCCTTTTCCAAGGACTGGCGTCTCCTAACAATATGCCCTAAGTATGTGAGATGGAGTTTTATCATCATCCTTCACTCTAAGGAGCACCCTGGCTTCAGCTTCTCCAAGATGTATTTGTTTATTCTTTTGTCTGTGAGGTATTCAGCACTGTTCTCCAAAAACACAACTCAAAGTCATTGGTTTTTCTACTGTTGTCTTTAGTCAATTTTTAGTGAAATTGAAATACAATGCTCACACACACTAGTTGAGTGAATCCCAACTCAAGCAAGGTTGTGCCATCTGCATAACACAGGTTGCTGGCAAGTATTCTTTTGTTACATATGTTACTGTATACAATCAAGTCAGAATTGACTCATAGTTGACCCTCCAGCAGGTTCTCAGAGGCAGTTAATCGCAGAGGAGACTGCCCTTCCTTATCCTGTGAAGCAGTTGGTGGATTTGAACCGAGTGCCTTTGAGATTGCAGGGCAGCTTCTTGCCACTAGGCCACCAGGGCTCCTTTTTATATATGTTGTTGTTGTTATGTGCCGTCGAGTCGCCTGCGACTCATAG